GTGAAACTGATATCTACCTTGAGACACAAAGCATGTGTGAAAGTGACACTGAGTAACTACAAAAAGAGTGGAATATTTTCATTGGACCCATGGGAGCTTTTGGATGAAAGGGGTCATTGGAGGTACTCTAACATCGTTTTGCCTGGGGCACAAACTTTTATGTCTGCTGTCCCATTATTGACTAGTTTAACATTTCAGCTTTCATACTACACCACAAGTGGTTGAAAGATTTATTATGTTGTCCTTTCTTTGCAATCATGCCAGACACAGTAACAATGCCCTACATCATCAAAACTGGAATTAGGTTACGTTTTCACCTGTCTGCCATTTTACAACTAGGACATCTCAAAAACAACAACACAGGCCCAAATATGGGAACTTTACCTAGAAATTACATTGGAAAAAGTAGAAGTCATACTACATTTGAGTACATTCCTTTCGTGATGGGAAAACTAGACGTGGGCTTTCATCTACTCAACATGCTATTTTCTTAGAAGAACAAACACTGAAGACAAAGTATTGACAAAAATGAACCTTAAGGTGGTGAATCTTTGTTAATTGGAGAGATATTCAGGGATGATAGAGATACCATTTTTACTCTTCATCACACACTGTAGGTTTTTTTTAAATTAAAAAACAGACACAAACCTCGTATCATCTGGCTCAAGCAGAGCCACCTGTTAACTCAAATAAAACAAGTTAAGGACATTACTTTAATTTATATAAAAATACAATATTTACTTTGCTCGAACTGATCTACACCGCCTTGTAATCTCTTAAGTATGATGCTACGTGGAGCACTTGAAAGCAGCAGCTGGCCAATTAAATTTAACAAGTTGTTGCGACGGGGAAAACGATGTGGCTAAAACAAAAGCGCCGTAGCAGGCCTAAGTTACTCACTTTTTCCCCGAGCTGTCCACCGCCTGTATGTAGAAAAATCGAGCTGGAAGTACGATGTTTGCCTCCAGTCCAGGTCCCCATACCAAAGTTTTTGCAGCACTGAGTACCGAGCCCGCCTCAGCCCCTGAGAGTCCGTGTCTGAACACATCCAGACAGCAGGGCAGCAGCAGCCAAGAAAACAGTCGAGGAGACATAACTGTCCAGCGTTGACTCTGCTTTAACATTAGCCGGTACTCTTCTCTTCTTACCGAGGTCCACTGCCCGAACTTGTCATTGTTGCTCTAAAAATATCCAAATCGCAACAAGATGAATAGAGGTCTCAGAGGTAACGTCTCAGCGTTGGTTTGTTTGATTTGCATGTGGAATAACAGGATTCAGCGGAGGCATTGGTAGTGGCTTGTATCTGGCTAACATTGTGTTATTTTAAAACATATCGAGTGACAGTGTGATTACCGTTAGCTATTTCCAAAATCTTGTACAGTTCAGTAAACTATCTGCAGGATGAACAGGGGGCGGGACAAGAATGCGCAAGGCAGCGATCCTATTGGTCGCCCCTCCACCTATTCTGGATTGGATTGGCTCAGTGAGCAATGGACTCCCGATCGAAAAAGTGATTGCACCGGCACCCGGAAGTTAAACTCTAGGACGTGTGGATACATACGGATACACAGAGAGCAACTGGGCATGATGCTGATGAATGGGGTGGGATTGTGAATGTGTCCTGTTACTATAGGCTTATTCAGTGGCATTTCTGTTGTGATAAATTATTGAAAGCAAACGTATAAGCTGACCTTCTTGTTCTCACTGTCCAATATTTTCATTGTTGGAGTAGTATTTAGATCCTAAAGTAAAAGTAGCAAAATGAAAGTAAAGTAAATGGCCTCTTTGAATTTCCCCTAGGGAACAAATAAAGTGTTTATCTATCTATCTATCTATATATATATAGTTATACATCTATATCTGACATTAAATTATTATTGTGTTAATAGTATTTTACTGTTGTAGCTTTTAAAAAGTAAAAAGTACAACATTTCTCAATCAATTATAGTGGAATAGAAGTATTAAGTAGTATTAAATAGATTAAATTTGTACAGTACTTGAGTAAATATACAGTTACATCTCACCACTGAGCATACAGCAGCTGGCTTTTAATATACAAGGGGGATGAAAAATAACATTTAGGGAGATGCATAAAACTGAAATTATATATGAAATGTAGGGAAAATACATTCATTATCATCATTTTGGAGAAATGCTTTGCTGACTGTATGCCTCTCTCAGTGATAAATCAGGTAAGCTACACTGACAGAGTAAAATTAACAGCGTGATGTTAGAAAGGTTCACGCTAGGGGCTCTGCAGGTCACAATGGTCATTGATGCGGAGGTCCTGAAACGAGGGTAAAAAGTTGCATACATGCTGCACTTTTATACATGCAAAATGACAGTAGCTGATACTGGTTAGAGACCAGTGAAACTGAACTCTCAACTGTGTACATCAATCAATGTTTATTTCGGTTTGCTTTTGCATCAACATATTTTCAGTTTTTTTGTCAAGTAATTTCTATTACACTAGTATAATATCAATAAGAACAAAAAGTGGTAGAATCCATTTAAATAAGACAAACTTTGCTGCCATCATTGAGAAAACCAGAGAAATGCCTTTTCAGGATACTACAGTGTGAAGAACTACAGAGTTCCAGTGATTTAGACAGAGTCAGTATACCAGATACAGTACCAGCAGTAACAGGTACAACATATACAGAGAAAAATATCTCAAGAATGTCTTCATCTTTTATCGTTTTTTGTTTCACCTTTCACCCAAGATTGAACTGTACAGTTAATATAAAAACCAAAACCAAAAACATACTAACAAAACACCCTGTCAGTAGAAGTCAGATTTTTTTTCTTTCAATTTTCTTTTAGTTTTGTTTTTTGTGTGTTTTCTCTGCCAACGACAGAACTGCACTGAATACAAATCTCATTGACGGTACAGTGATAGAAGAGAAATTTATTTATTTTTTGTCATGTTTAAGACATCTCGTTTAATCAAATCATGTGTAATTCCTGAAATCCATGTGGCTCTGCTTCTGGATTTCAGGTGACTTCAGTCTGGTGAAAGCAGATGTGTTTGAAGGCCATTTCAGCCTCAACAGCCTGACAGGAAGTAGACAGTCTACCAATGCAGATCACTCGGTTCTGTGTCTGTTATTTTTTAGGCTTTGAATATATGTGTTGCTGTGTGTATTTTACGTGGGAGTAACATCAACAAGATCGAGACACAATGCGTTACATGTGTTAATGCTTGTGTGCGTAAAGGCCTGTTGTGTGTGTCAATATTCCTCTGTTTTGCTTTTCAGATCGATTCAAAATACAGACAAATACACAAGTACGAACTATCCCCCTCAGTTAATGCCATTTTCCCATGTCGTGGCTATCCATTGACATGTACAACACAATCACAATATGATACACAACCATGTATCATGAAACATTTGTTGTTTTGAACATACAAAAGCCTTCAGTTGAGAGGCCTTCACCATCAAATATAGGACTGCGACAAGAGGATATCATAGTTTCAAGAACAATATTGAATGAAAAAAAAAACATATTTGCCTCCAGTTGAAATTGTTGCAAATGTTTTACACATGTACATAGTTTCTTCACTGACTCAACATCTGAACATCACTGAAAAAATACTGTTACTTCTCCTGAAACTTTTACTTATAAACAACTCACAAGCATTTAAACGGATGTGATTCCATCTCTTTCGCATTCCAGTCACATAGACAGTGACAACCATTAAAAGTATCACTTGTCATTATGAAAAGAGGACCACACTGGTTTTACGCTGAAAATGCACAAACCACAACTTTTAGAAGACTAAGGTGGAGAGAAATGGGAGGGTGTCATTCATTTTTGATTGCTTTGGCCGAGAAAGAGTCCACTTTAACACTTGTGGCACTCTTCCTCTCTTACACGCACACACACACACACACAACCTAATGGCTCACTAAACTTGTACATCTGACAAAGGCAGCTAAAGACTCAAATGGTGAACCAGTGACAACCAAAAAATAATTTAAAACAAAACACCCTCATATATATATTTTATTTTTTCCAAAAGAAAACTGGCTTATTTGACTTTACTCAATGCCCTCCATGGTCAGTTCCAAGTACTTTTTCTCATCTGTTCTGATCAACAGGAAACGTGTGATTACTACTACTACTCATTAGCTCTTTGTTAGTTAGTTTACATGAAGTGGGTTTACCCATCTTGTTTTTTATGGCACGTGAATAGTATATAGATTCATACTATAGATATAAACACACTGTGTCCAGAATACACTTTTAACTCAGCCTTTGCATACGTCTCACACCAATCTGTTCTCTGTTTTCATACAATTATAGTTGGGGAGTGAGATATTCGTCATCATCATTTAATGCTTTTGTAAGTAGCAGCAGCCGAAAAGTGAAATTAAATTTGTGTGATTAGACTGCGCAGAGTTAAGTGTGAGTACTATTGATTTGTGTTTGCACTGTGCAGCCCAGAGTAATTGGTAAGAACAAAGTTTTAGCATTATTCTAGGTGTGTGTAGAGAAAGCTAACTATGTGCATTTATATTGTGTCAAGTAATATTTACTGAGACAAAGAAGAAAAAATTCAAATGAACCAAAAAAAAAAAAAAGGAACGGAACACAACTTTTGGCTTAATAGCAATGCAGGTATATATTTCCCTTTTTATATATCGTTTTTTTTGTCAGTATTTCAAAAAATATAAAGTTTTTCATAGTTTCTCTTGTTGGCTTACATCATTAAATAAAACTTTTTATTTTTGTATCTCCTGTTAAAGTAGCATGCTGCTTTTTAATATGGCAGTTGGATATTTTTAATAGTCATCCATTTTTGTTTCATGCATTTCTTGTTGGTTTCTTAACTTTTGAGTATCTACACAGTGAGGTCCAGAAAACCCAACCCAACCGCACACACAAACACACACACACACACACACACACACACACACACACACAGACATACACAAAACCAACCACACAACACAACACACAACCACCCACACCACACACACACACACAGACAGACTTGTCGGATATTTCCAGTTCCAGTTTCATCGGTCCTTCAAATGCCGCCATCCTCTTTCTGTCCTCATCACTGCGTGTCTAGACAAGGAGCTAGCCCGTCCTTGTCATTTCAGCATTGTGACAGTGCCGTACATATTAGCTAGTCCACAAGCCATAAAGACAAAGTCACTCTTGAGTCTTTCTTTTAATAGCTCTCATTTGTAGAGTGAAAGTCCCTGTCCCGGCATAAAGCTCTCAACAGTCCAAGGGCAGCCTTAGCCCTCTGTCCTGCCATTAGAACTGGTACCACTTCTTGTCCTTGCACTTTAGCATCAGCTGTAAAAAGACAAAATCATATACTGTTGATGGTGAAGAATAAGTTATCACAGCGTCACTTCCTGTTGGAGTGCATTTCTTTGGAATGACACCACATTTATAAAAAAAAAAAAATGCTTTAGCTTGTCTGGGAAAGGGAATGGGATGAAAACAACAGAGATTGAGTGTTTTAGCTATAATCTAAGTTAAAATTAAATAAAACTTAAATATTATTTATAATAATTTGTACTATTTTCAAAGGTAATTCAAATAAAAATAATAAAAATTTTTAAGTTTCAATTTAGCTTTATTTTACCATATTCGAATTTTAGTTTTATTTCAGTTTACAACAGTATTCATAAAGATATATTTTGACCATTTTAAGTTATTATATTTAGATATATTCTTTATCGTAAATTGTGGTTCTTATGGAACATTACTTTCTTAATTACTACTGTAATATTCTTACCTCATGAGCGTGTTTGGAGAAGGTTTCTGCACTGGTCATCATGAGGGCAGTTCGTTCCTCCAGCTCTCCCAGTCTCTGGCCTCTCTCATCCAGAGCAATGCGGACCCGAGCCAGCTCACCCACAGCTCCACTAGCCGCCACCTTCATGCCCTCCATCCCCGCCTGCCCTGGGATATGCTGTGCCAGACTGCGGGATGCCTTCCCGGCTGCTGCTTCCCCAACTACCATTAAAAAACATCAGTTAAAAAAGAAAGAGAGAAGATGATGGTGATACGGAAATAAAGCACATTCTTGGTTAATATTAATATTACTCTTTGAAGATTTGAATAATTTATGACTTTTATATGTTGATTAATTATTATATGGTTTCTTTTAGGTGAATTAGCACATACTGGATGGAAGCACTTTATATTCAGAAAAAGAAAGATAGACCAAGTAACATACAGAGCTCCTCCCTGTCGAAGGTATTGGCGTTTCCCCCAAAGAAGCCCTTTAAAAAGCCTCTGTTCTGGGCTTCTGGTGTCTCTATTGGTGTAAACAGCTCTCCCAGCATTTCCTGCAATGAAATACAGTTTTGATAAAACAGTTCTTTCCGATGGTGCACCAGGGATGTATTACTAAAATTTGTTGATCATACATTGATCATCACTGAGATAGGGTGGGGTCTAAGTGCCAAAGTTTTCCTCACTTTGTCTTCCTTTCATCACCTTTGTGAAAACTGTCATGGTGTCCATACATATAGTATAATTTTATAATATACATAGTGCATACTAACAACTTCTCCTCAATGACCGAGGAGAAATACACCATAATCTGAGTAACCACTGTTTGCCTGTAGGTGGCACTATGGCAACATCTGACATCTGTTATCATTAGTGAGAGTGCAGTGATGGCTCTTAAGAATAAACATCTAAAAATATGAGTATAACCATGTGCACATGCACAAACACTGTAAAAACATATCCACACAATCAACCCACTGGAGTTCAGACCACATATGACAAGTGTGACATTTCACTTCAATGGCTCCTGTGAGCCGTGGGCTTCACCAAGGGTGGGGATAATGGCACCTGTTTATTACTTACTGCACCTATACTTTTCTGAACTCAGAACCAAAATATGAGACAGCACAAATTGTCAGTCAGCAGATCCCTTCACACACACAGATGCAAAATTAGAAAGGTCTTTATGTGTACATAAATACATGCATGGATGCCGTTCATAAAATCAAATAGCATAAATCTGAGATGTTGCATGTCATAGATGCAGCATGCTCACACAGACAGACTGCAGTGCTGACCTGCAGGTTGTCACACATCTCCTGGCTGTATGTAATTCTCTGGATCTCTGTCGGGGAGCTAAGATACAGTGCCTGCCCCCCATTGGTGAAGCAAAAGGTTCTTGCAATGCGCATGTCTGTCAGAGGCAGGTAATTGACATCCATCAGCGGTCTTAGACTAGGCAAACTAGATGAGATCAAAGAGAGTAGAAAAAGAAAGACAAATTAGATACCAGGAACATCTATATAATAAGAACTGCACCCTGCAAAGTAAACCACAGCACACATCAGAGCTATCTTTGGGCTACATGGATATTGAAATATAATAATTATGATTAATTAATCTCAGGATTGTTTTTTGATACAATTTTGGTAACAAAGAAGTTAACAGTGTGTGAACATCTAACAGATAGAAAACTGCTGTTAATCTAACAATATACCTGTTAGAACTTAAATAAAACGTCCTTCAAATCACATGAAATCAAACTGTACTCTTAGAGGAAGGAGGTTTTAGTCGAAGTGTATTCAAATACTTACAGTATAATGTATCACAAGATGCACAATTTACCAGTATATAGGCAGCACTTTTAACATCAGAGCGGGAACTCTCAATGCAATGGGTCGGGTCAATATTGCACTCGACCATGTCTAAATAATTATGTTATCTCAATCATTATATGATTAATTGCACAGCACTAGTCTAAGCCATTTTTTTTGTCTAAGCAGCAAAAACAAAAATGTCAATTAACAAAGAAATATACATTAAATTAAGAATCTGAAAGAAAAATGGAAATTTCAGGTAAATCTCAATTGTAGTTTAAACTGTGCACAGATTTGATACAAACATCTAAAGAGACAGACAATAGTAACACATGCAGAACTTTCTATGTACCTGAGTGTCATGACGTGGCCGTTGGCACAAAAGCAGGCCAGGCACACACTGTTACACACAGATACCACGTCAGCTCGCAGTACAAATGATGACTCTGTGATGTTGTGGACAAAGAGGCAAGACTGTGAGGGCATCAAGAATACTTTGGCCTGCCTCTCTGAGCACACCACAGCCAGATGTCCATCTCCGCAGGCGTCCTGGGAGGAGGATGGTGAAAAGTGGACCAGCTTGCGCCTCCGCGGTCGGTCAGGGTCCTCGGGGGCATTGAGGTCCCGCCAAACCTCATAGGGGCTCTGAATGAGAGCTCCCATGCAGTCCAAGAAGCCAAAGCGCAACACTGAGCCCTTCAACATCAAAACTGCTCCTGGGAGTGTTTGGGTAGAGTCAAAAGAAGAAGACAGAGAAGGCATGACATCTAAAACTAAAATTTCCAAAGCTACAGCACACAACTACCACAAGCCAAGAAAGTGATGGATCCAAAATGTAATGGGAATGAAAAGAACTCAAAGCACTTGACTTATCTCCACTGCAGCCCAGTTTTGTTTCTTCATCACATTACTTTAAATGAACTTTATTTATAAAATGAGACTGAGAATGTCAATATAATGGGATGATGCAAGTTAAAGAATTACAAACGCTCATGTGTTCACTTTTAGAAACTTAGTATAACTTGTTATCTACTCTTGGCTAAAAAGTAATCCATTACTTACACATATACTACAGTTTTTCAAAGACAACATTTCCTGCACAATCGACTATCCACTCTCCACAGGGAAGCCACAGGAGCATAAAACACACAGGGAGGGTTCAACAATACTTGCTTTTCTGTTCGCCAATTTTTCCTTGGAACAGAATCTGTGACCTTCCAGTAATAAGCTGGCTTCTTGTTTGCTTAGTCTCAAGAGAACAACTGGTGCTTCAAAGGGCCTGGATTTTGGTTCAATTGATGTTTTTACACTGAGAAGGAGACCTTTTTTCTCACACAGCAGGGCTTCTGGACTGGTAATGCATGTTTGAGTGGCTCAGTTTGTTTAGTCAGAGTGCCAATACAATGGGACTACAAATACTATCCTTTCTCTTGAGCACAGAATGAATTCAGTGCAAGATCATGCATGACAAGGCCCATCAAAGTTCCCCATGATCAACAAATTTCCCTCTAATTGAAACTACGAAGTTTTAGAAGCCCTTTAGTAGGAGTTAAGACCAGGGGAGAGTTGAGCTTTCAAATGCTGCTCACACAGCTTAACACAGTGCACTTAATTCCTCACGAAATTACCTGCTTATTTTCAAAGCCTTGCTTTGTATCAATATTGCATTTTCATGTCCATGTGGATGTTTTTATGTCAAATTATGCAGGTGGAGTTGAAACAAAAGCTAATGCTTTACTCAGATCAGTGTCCTGTGTTTTCAAAGTGAGTGTACACTGTATCATTATTTGTGAAATAACCTATTCACAACACAGTGATATGGAAATTAAATAGATTACAAAAGGGTAATTACTGTACTTGGAGCATGTTGGTATGGCACTGTTCTATTTACTGGAAGTAATCCACCTCTAGGTGCCACGAAATCCTAAATGGATCCAGGTTTTATGTCCGCAACATCAGTTGCATTGACATGGTCGCTTATAGTAATGCATCAAATGGAGTTAAAGTTTGTCATATGTGAAATACTTTGAGATGAGTTAAACAAATGTATTCTGGACATTTTGTGCTGATAAAACTATTATTATTACTATTATTTTGAGTTGGGCCAGAAGTTTAGAGATCTAATGTACCACATCTCACTGTGCAAGTTTCATGACATAGTTATAGCTTGATTTTACTCTACACTTTGAGGTTCTTAATGGCTTTTCTCTCAACTTCTGATTTATTTGACAAGACTGCAAGAAGTTTTCAGCCCTTCAACAGATTTCGGGTGTATAGTGGATTTTCTATTGGAACACTTCTATTCATTCCAATTTATCTGTGTTATTCTAGAATTTTGGCCATTATTTCTACCTGCATTTATGATAAAATTGTACTCACCAAAGTATTGCTGAGATCTAAAAGATTCAATTATGACCAAAAGTGAGCGCACAACAAATGTTAGTAATCCCTGTTTGTGAAGAAAAACTGTGTTCAGTTACTAAAAACCTCTGTAAGATAAACGACACCTTTGTTATGAACCCCAGTGTCACTGGGACTTACCACTGGGCCCAATGGTGACAGGTTCCTCCATCCTCTCCTCCTGGTCTGTGGGAATGGACATCGGGATGAGCAAGACCATGCCTAAGCTGGTGCCTACCCACAAACATGGGGTTGGCAGGGCGTCACTCTTGCGCCCATAGGACTCTCCAAACTGCAGTGTGGTGATTGCCTCTTTGGTGTCCCGGTCGATGCTGGACACACTGGAACTGCGCGAGCGACTGAAGGAGTTTTCACGACTCTCTGTAGCAGCAGCCACCAAACACAGACGCACAGCACAGGCAGAAACGATGCAAGAGGACATGAAGCGGTGACAAGAGAGGGAAGGACAAGAGGGGAAAACAAGAAAGAGAAAAATAGTGTTGGAGGAGATATTTATGGATCAGTAAAAAGAGTGATGGAGGAGGAAAGCAACGTGATGGACAACGAAGAAAGAACGGTGGTATGCAGGGACAGGAAGTTAAAAAGAAAAGGGTATTTCGTAAGGAGAGAGGGAGTGACAACAAGCAAAGAAGACAAATATTCTGAAAGTCAAACATGGTTTGTCTGCAGATTGTATGTCATGTAAAACACTGGAACAAATAGGAAAATACCACTGAAAAGCAAAGTGATCAAACATTACAAAGGGACAACTGGACAGAAACCCGTTTTCACATCACACTCCTGCGCACGCACACTCACACTCACACTTATGTCTGCGCTGATTGAGAATGCACTGGTTTTATTTGCTGATGAGAGATTCAGCAGCCCGGTGACAAACTCGGACACACTGCACACACACCAACACACACTCACACATTAACAAACAGACATACACAAGAATGCACACACATACACACGATGGCAGTTGCACCAAATTCTGAAACTCCTTTAACTCCGTTTGAGTGCTACCCATTCAGCTCCTCCATTGTGTACTTAAAGCCTCCATCATAAAAGTATTTCTGTATTGCTGCATTTCTGAATTATTCAAAGACCAGGCAATGTGCAGTACTGCATTCCCTTCCAAATGTTACACAGAGTGCAGACTTTATGTAACAACTCCAAATGGGTGCTGTATGCCAAAATGCTGACTGCAAAACATACAGTATGCACTACTAAAAAAGATGGTATCACCCCACTCCTACACCTTGGGACACGAGCAAACACTTCTAGGCATGTTTTAGACGAAACGGGGGCCACAGGACGGACTAACATACTGACTGACGGACGGACGAACGTATATTAGTCTGCAGGACAGCAGTTGATGGGTTTGCGGCCGAAGCCCCCTTACCTCTCTCACTCCAGCAGTAGGGACTGGCGGTGTGGTGCTCGTCATGGGAGTACATAGTGACTCCGTGAAACTGCTGAAGCATTGCCCTCCTGGATGCATAACCTATTCATCCCCCACAACATGAACCCCATAGACCAAACCACACCCGCCATGACCCAAAGAAACAAATGCACACACGTGGGCACCGAAGAAACAGACAAGGATGGACGGATGAACAGCAGTACCAGAGAATGGAAAAAAAAAAAAAGGGAAAGAGAGAAAGTTGCAACTGAGTGTGGAGAGACTGCTTCAAATATACACAGAGACAGAGAAAGAAAGTGTGACTGAAAAAGAGGCTGCTTGACAACATCTGTGGTGGCCACACAACCTTTTACTCGCATATCCATCTTCTCTCTGAAAACCTTTACATCAACGTTGGACCTTCATGTAGTCCAGTGTGGCCGATAAAGAGCTACTGTACAGCGCTGTTGCACGACAACCAAAATGTCAATGCTGTTTTCTCTGATACTGCTGCAAGTAGAAAAACATTTTCGAGTGGACCCCAGTGTACAAACGGGTCAAACACAGAACCAATTCAATACAAAACAAAACATGAAAACTCACGGCACAAGAGGTGCTACAAAGGCAAAGACTTCAATAAATTCATGGACATTTTGTTTGTTGGTTGTTTACTTAGTGTTTTCCACAATATCAGAGCAGTATCAATATATTTAGATGTTTTTAGTCAAAAGTCTGGTATTGTAACAACACTGCTGTACAGTGCTGCTGGCAGCCACAGAGACAAAATAGCCTTTTGCTGTGGGTCTGGACAGCAGCAGCTCAGTTTAGCTGTGTGTCGCTGGGTTGTGTTTACGCTGTGTGACAGAGCCTGTGGGGTGCTGGCTAATGAAAGTCAGGCACAGTGATACTCTGACAGGACATGGGGACCCCTGGGGCACCTTTACAGGGAGCTAGAGGCAGGTGGGGCAGTGTCAGGGAGGTGATAAGGAGAGGCAGACAATCTGAAGCGGTGAGACAGACAGAGTGCCAGATTTATACAGTGGTACATGCACATACACCCACACACACTTTAGAGAGACAAGGACAGACACCTGGGGACTAGGCTTAACTCCTGTTTATATCGATGTACCACTAATGACAAATGTTGCTTTAATACCAATATAGATAGATGTAAACTTTGGATTTTCCAAGATTTAATTGTGCAATTCATTGAGAGTTAAGGAATCTTTGACCTCAAAATGTAACATTTTAATAATTAAGATGATCAAGTTTATTTATTGCAGAGATCCAACAGGGACTTCTTGTATCACCATATAATAGTATAATAGACCTAATGCTTCAGCATTTGTTTTTCTATCCGGCAACATGGACGTAGGTGTGTGTGGGTGCAGACTTGAGTGTCTTTTGAAAGTCCCTTCAGCTTCTGCACCTTAGCTCTGAGCTATAGCACAGAAAATACATTTCAGTACTGCCTCTTTTACTTGTGAAATGTGTACACTATGGAATACTGAGACACTGTATGTGGGTTATACTTAAGCCTTAAATTCTAAGGGTTTCACTAGGGGAAACAACTCCTCCTGCCTCTATACTAACAAACAAATGAATTGATAACAGCACACACATACAGTCCTTACACAGACACTACCAGCTTTGTTACCATGTCCACTGGCAACTGGAACTATCATACAACTGCGTCTTCAATATATTTCTTCAATATTTCATAGATGCTGCCTAACAAAGATAGGAGGTATGGACATGTTTACTGTACATTGAGTCTGGCCTCCCCTGCAATTTCCCTCCTCTGTTTCCTCTCCTGGCATGGAGGCCTCATTAAGATCGGCCTCATCTCTCGCACCTCTCATTGACCTTTAATTATTCCAGTGATCCTGCTGGCTCTTCACTGTGGCAACCCAGTGCAACTGATAAACAACAGTGCCAAAGCAACAGTCAGAGAATATCCAACAGTCTGCTGAGAAAAGCGACTGTTCACACATAATAAACAGACATTAAAGCTACTGCAGACTATGGCTACTGTCGATTTTTCATCTAATTTCATCCTTATCACATGCTCTTAGTGAATTAGACATGACATACAACCCACTGTATGTCTTTTCTGTAGATTTGAATATGACAGTCAAGAGAAGTGAAAAAATATTGAACTACAGAGTACATTTAAGCCAGGTTAGAAGAGACTGTAGAGTGCTTAAATCAAAACACAGCAACAAGATGAAATCTAAGTGTTACTTCCCTATATTCCATGATATGTGCATGCAATGCTACAGTTTCTAAGCATATACTGCTGAGTGCAAATTTTTGATTGATCCAGTAAAAGTTTGCTAAAGAATCTGTAGCTGTGTTTAACATGCAAATCCAACAGTATCATACAATATCTTCAATACTGTTCTAAAGCCCTGAAAGTGGTATGTGGCAGGTACAATATTCATTACATCCCATAGTATGGAAGTGTTGGAAGCAGGAGCATGCTCAGAAAACATCACGGCAAGCTGTCTATTAGATTATATAATATCTTGTGTGCCAAGCTGACATTTTGGTCAAGAGGAAAGCTGGTGATGTCTCCACATTGGAAAAGATTTATGCAATGACGTCCAAATGACTCAGTAGACAGATGCGTCAAAACTGATTAACCAGAGATGCCTTTGAAATACAGGAGAATTTCATTGGGTCCAACGAAATGTCATGGTTATTTTGCACTGGAGTGTGTATAGATGGAACAGCTTTCATCCTTTAACTACCCCAGAGTGTCTGTCTAACACCGTCTTCTCTGCACTGAAATGCACTTGCCGCAAAAGGACCCTCTTGTCATAGTTGTCACACCATGTCAGATTTTGGAAACTGATGACTACTGTTAATTGATTAAAGCCAGAGTCACATTCCCCAAGCTACTTCAGCACTATTCGAGCAGGAGGACACTGTCTACCACCCAGGCGCACAGAGGCGAGGTGGTTTTCCCTGAGACAGACGATGACAGGCTTCTTTAGCATCAGACTGTGGCTGGACTGCTCTCCTTCCCTCAGTGTTTTTTTGATTCTGCTAGCTTGTCGACAGCACTAGGTGAAACGTTGCAGGCCAGCTTGACAAAATAAAACTGCATTAATAAATAAAACTTTTTTTTTTTTTTCATTACTGTTGAATTTCTGACAGTGACTTTCTGAATTCTGCCTTTAGTTTTAAGTAAAGCCTTCATTCAGTGGAGGTCAGCACAGTCTGTAGCAGCAGTACAATACAGCCACTCAATAAAGTTTGGGGTTAGTTTTTCTTGCCAACAGGTTACAGTGTCATGTTAGTGCAGCCTACGGTTAGCTTACAGTTTCATGTTTAATTACTATAGAAGTCTGTGAAACCGTTGCTGATGGATATTTTCAGAGGTTCTAAATGCATACAAATGCAAAACATTAAAAACTTTTATAACTTTATAGCAGCGCACAGATGTGAAGAAAATGTGATCTAGGAAAGTGGTCTTACGCTTAGAGTAACTGTGACATTTCAGTTACTGTCACAGTGTTGAGTTTTCTACAGAGGGATTAGCCTGTTGCGACCTGACGGAGAGTTTCTGTTAATCTAACAGAGCCATGACTAAAAGCAAATACAGGCAGGACCACGAGCGATTCACCTGCCCAGCCAGAGCTTTCTACAAGTCTACTCTCCTTAGGGGCATGAGTTTAAATAGCACTATATGAAAACAGTGCTGATGGTTGACCAGATTTGTGAGCAACACTGTTTTATCTTTGTTGTGTAGTGGTGTCTATAATATTATGATCATGAAGGCTCATTCCCTTTGTCCCTCAACCCAACCAGTCGAGGCAGACGGCGCCATGAGTCGGGTTTTGTTCAGTGTCTCTACCTAAAAGGAGGTGTTTCCAAGTGCTGGCTCATGGGGGAACGTTTTTGTCTTTGTAGTAATATTATGAAGAGTACGGTCTAGACCTGCTGTATATGAAAAGTACCCTGAGATAACTTCTGTTATGATTCAGCGCTATATAAATAAAACTGAATTGAATTTATGACAATCTCCTGTTTGAGGTGCCAATGTAAATTTTCACATTTTCAATACTTTAAATTAAAGTGTTAAACACCTTCTCTGCCTCCAGGGCAAATCACAATGTCTGTCAGTATTTATAAATCATCCACTCAATAAACCTGCAGTCGCTTTGGCCAGTGCCTGCCATCCTCACTTTTATTTCTGCCACCCAAAATCACCCAGCTATGTGAGTCATTGTAAAGACCAAAAGTGCAGCTCAAGTTCAACTCACAGACATGCCTGGCAAAGAAAATATCTAGTTCTGAGAGCAGCAGAGAGAAATAAAATGTCCAACACTACAGGAGAATGTCAGGAGTCCTATTAAGATGAAAGATGTGTGTCTCACTTTTGTCTGAGAGGGAGGATATTGTTGATTCAAAATCAATAGAGGTCCCGGAGTGGTGTCTTGATGTCTGTCGCCTGGCAGTGACAGACTAAGTGCAAGATTTCATACATGCTGTGTAATTAAATGTTCTTGTATAATCCTGGCAGAGGCCATTTTTTTGTGTCAGCAACAAGGTCAATATTTTGAAATCAAACTGCTGGGAGCATCATTTCAAGTCCTCACGTGACGGCACATTCTTTTATCTGCTTTTTTTTGTTTTTGCTTATGCTGTCACTTATTTTGTAAGAGCAGAATGTCAAAATCTAACCAACAACGAGCCTAAAGATGGGCCAATGTATCAGAAGTTGAAAATAAGACAGATGTTTTATCAGTTATTATTTAGAGTTATTCAGATTAGCAGGAGATAATAAGAAATACAGTGACTATAAAAGCATTGCACACACAGAGACAGAGGAACATATTTACACACACATTCCCTGTTATCACACACAAAGCTGTATGTACACACCTGAAACACACACACGCACACACACGGATTTCCACACTGATCATGGGGATATGACGCCTACTTGGCTGATTCATTTTTAGACAGTCCAAGTCAAAGTCAGGGTGTGAATAAACGGAGTTCACATGGAAGAAAATAAATGTCAGATCTGTCAATGAGAATGTCAAAATGCCAGAGTGCGAATCATGCTTGACCGGTTGTCTTGTAATTCTTATTCCCCTCTTTTATCTGCGTGCATAATGAAAAGGGCTATTTGGAACTTAAAAATAAAAAATAGATGTTCTGACAATTGCAATATAAAGAAATTGCACACTCACTCACAAACACATAAAAACTAAATAAAAAGCTTACAAAATGCCTCCCTAGGCTCAAAGTTTTGTGGATTTTTAGACAGTTGGAGGGTGTGGCCACACTACACAAACCTCATGTGTGCTCTGTTAATTTTCAAAAAGTAAAACATGCAGAATCTATTTCTGTGAAGAGAAAGAAATGTGACAGAAAAAAGGCAGAAACTACTTCACCATACTATAACTGGATGGAAAAATACTGTGACATTAGTGTCAAACACATCAGTGCTTTTTGATGCAGAAAAATAAAAAAGAAAGACAGGCACTGAAGAGGTAAAAAACAATTAGTTAAAACATTTAAAATTGCACCAACCTTCAGGCCTGGGACATGGTTGACACAGGCAACAGTATTAAGGGACACAATGCAAAGGCTGTTTCTTGCATCCAGTAGTCCAAATGTTGTAAGGTCATGCTAATGCAAGCTGCAGATATACGTATATGTTTTAAGTAGCGATGTAGGTCAAACACTGCTAAATGAACAACTACACATGTAGAAGTAGGTGCTGTCGGTGAGAGCATACAGTAGCAATAGCCAATGTTCATTTAGTAACTCCAGTTACCTCAGTGTGCAAAGACGTCTTCTAAAAACGTCATCCATATAATTCGCAGTGACTGTTTATATTTTGAAGGATATAAAAAAAAAATTAACCATTCACTAAGCCTCACCTCTCCTTACTTCTCTACACCTCACGCTGACATTGCACTGCACAGATGAGCTTCACAATAATTATGATGACAGACTTATCTGAAACAATGGGTCTGATTGAAATGATTGAGATTCTATCCGCTGGAGCATGCTAGCTTATTGAGCTAACATTAACTCTACGCTTTGGTTGACATTTTAAATGTTTTCGGCGGACTTGTTTTAAAATGAGATATTATATAAGAGGTCTATGCACTTGTTACTGTAAACTGTAAACTAATTACTCATCAGCTTGGCATGCTAACAAGCTTACGTGACAGACAAAATCACTGTTTAATTAGTTCCTTACACCTCCTCTAAACTCTTTAGACTGTGGGTTTTGCTCTTGCTACAGCAACATACACTGTTTCAACATGGAGAGAAATCCAAGACAGTGACTTGTTATGGTTGCTAAGCTTTGATTGGGTAATTACTGCTTGGGGGATAGTTTTATCAAAAAGTCAGTTATGATGTTTATATCAAAAGCATCTGCAAATTCACTCAATTTGTTCACTGTCCATTGATTTGCTTACCCTACAGCATCCACTTCTGGCAATTACAGCATGATTTCAGCTTTTATGCTGCAAACTTGCATTAGCATATGCTTGCCTTGTGTTAACTATGTATCAAGCCTTAATCCACTTACCCCAGAGTTAGAGGAAGGCATGCACTTGTTGGGAGGGAGGGCATGTTATAGAGGCTTAGGGATGGGAGTTGGGAAGACAAGCACACACCTTCAGTGTGGGACACAGGCAAAGAGATCTCCATGCAAGCAGCAGATTGGGCCTTGCGGAAGGGCGGTCGGCCGGGGCCTCTGCGGGTAAGCCGTGGTCCCTCGGGACCCATTGGGACGCGAGGCTTCCCCGCCGAGCAGGGCTGGGAGGTGGGGCTAGTGCAATGTCCATTGACATGATCTGTAACAACGGCAAAGCATTAGCAAACAATACAAAGAGGGAAATAATGAAACTTTCAAACATATTCTAATCCACTACTGCAATATCCATCATCACAAGTCATTTAGTCTGAGAAGTGAAATCTTCTTTTAAACAAGGGAGAAATCTGCCAATGAGGGGAGAAAATTCCGTTTTGAGGAAATAGCTGGTGTTTTCTGACCCTATTGGGAGATAATGCTATCGGTTCAAAAAAAAAACAAAAGCAGACTTAATACATCAGTTCAGCAATACACTACATGACCTATGAAGACGGAAATCTTTGCAGTGTTAGAGAGAAGCAAGCCAATGTTGAAAATCAGAAAAGACAAAGAGAAAGATGGTGGTGAGGGAGAAAGGGAAGGCAAGAGTGAGCGTGAAAGGGTTGGAGGGTGGTTTTAAGTTAGCATGAGCAGGGAGGAGATGCCGGGGCAAAAGAAAAGGGAGTAAAATACAGAGACAAATTGTGAGCGCAGTTTCTTCCAGTTTGTGTCAGGAAAGAGATATGAAAAGAAAAGAAAAGAAAAAAGGCTTGTTTCATCTCCACTTTGTTTCTTTATGTTCTTTGTGAATTGTTAGAAAACTTTTGAAGAAAACAATTCTGTTTTTAGCAGACACTATTTATTTCTTTTGAAGGTCAGGAGCTTTATTGAATTACTGGCTGCAACAAAAATCTTCAAGTGAAGATCAAAGGAACAGAAAATAACATAAAAACTCTTCTTTTTTTTATTATTCTAAAGCAAATTAGTACTCCAGTTAAGATGGTTGGGCTAAACAATCAGCTACCGATGGTGCCGACAGAAAACACTTGTTACTCTCTGAAATTACATGGCTTCTCCTCAGGGACTGAGTTTGTTGGAAGCTTTGTCCTTACTTAATGTACAGTGCTTCTTTGTGTGAGCAAAATAATTTGTTTACAGCCAAACCTTATTAATGAGACAAAAAAAAAAAGCAAAACAAGATTGCGTAGCTTGAGTGCACTCTGTGGATCTGTGTTGCCTGCAATTTAGTTGGCAAGACACAAAAGCTGCTAAGACAGCCGCAAATAACAGCTTCATACCAAACGCCTGAGTGCCCTCATTCTCACTTGTCTGGAGTGGTGAGTAAATAAAACAGTGCCCTCTTCTGTAGTGACATCTCAGTAGTAGGAAAAAACCAAAGTTAAAATGATTTAGGGTTGTCAGGAAGTTGTGACTGAAGATATCCATGTGTTTTTTTTGTTTTTTTTTTAACCATTCCTCTCTTTACTTCTCCTGTGTAGAAACTCATGAAGCATGAGGATGAACAGTATTGTGCTAAATAGTAAAAACAATAGAAAGTGACCTCCTGCCACTGTCCTCTTAGTATTTGACACTGATCATATGTCTGTTATATCAAATTTAGTCTCCTGATCAGATCATTGATGCACAAAAGATTCAGTTTCAAAGTGAAGATGAAAAGCTCCGGGTAGCCCTCCAGTCTGCGTGCAACACTCACATAGTTTCAGAGCAGGACAGGCCGAGGCAACGCAGGGATTTGAAACTGAGGGTAATAATAGGTCAACCAATGTGAGAGCTGCGTGACGACACCACTGCGTTTCTGACTGTTTTGTTTTTGTGAATTTCGAACAGAGATGCAGCCAATCAGTCATTTGCCTCGAAATGTTCTGCAGGAAACTACACAGCAGAAAGAATGGCACTGTATCCTCACACGCACACTCCCCAAACAACGGACGGATTATTACACATATGCATCAAGACTGAGCACACACGCACATGCACGCGCACGCAAACACAGACACACACACACACACTCACTTACACTCACACACGCGCTCTCTCTCTATGATACTGTTGACAAAAACCCACATTCATAGTGTAGCTACTAACAAGGTACAAGACTAATAAACAAGTATTTTTGCCCTTTTACTGACAACATACGTCCTACTGACAAGTCCTACTACGAGTCCTACAAGTTTGAACCTCACAGGAAATGAGCCTAAAATGTTCTCTTGTTGATGACAGACACTAAGCGTGTGTTGAGGCATACATGGCTGTTCTCTTCAAAGTTTAAGTTTTAAATCTAGCTTCAAAAGCGCTTCAAAAATAAAATAGAACAAAAGCATGTTTTTATATCTGTCACATAAAATAAAGTTATTAAATGAGTCACGGGAATAAGTAAGCACTGGCACATTTTGTGTTAAAGAAGCAGAAGTTTTTTTAGAGGGGACAGCATGTGTGACACTGCAGAAGCAGAGCAAAGGGAAACCTGAGATTGTGATGTGTATGTAGCAGATGTAGGGGGGGAACGCTCAGTATCTGTAAAGCAGGTGATCCAGTTACAATGAAAAGAAGACTGTTTAAGAGAGAAATGATCCAGTTAAAATGAGAGAGTTAGCATGTGATCCAATCACTGTAGAGCAAGGCTGTCAATGGAGGAAAGGTTGCGTAAAATCAGAAGATGGTCCAATCATGATAAAGCGATAGAAAGCCTCAAATTTAAACATGGGTATGAGTTACAAATCACCTTTATAAACACTTGCAAAATGTAGAAGAAACAAATACAAAAGATTTAAATTAAAACAGATTAAAGGAGCAAAATGGACGAAAACGTCAGGCCAACACTCTCATGGGCTGGTTGAACAGGAGGAGAGAGTGACAAGTAAACTGAAAGAAGAAAGTTTGAGTGGGAATAAAAACTAGTAAAGCAACATAAAAGTCTAATAAACACGACAAAAACAGAAACTAAATGATTCAAAGAAAATCAAGTGAAAACTGCTGGCTTTCGCCTACCGTACCAAGATCAGTCTTAAGATCTGTTGGCAGACTTAACTTTCTGCCGGGTCCCTTTACTGAAACAAAAGAATAGGAAACAAAGCACCAGTTAATCCTTTCAAATAAAAATAATAATAAATAATAAAAAAAAAAATAATGAAGTTGGTGTAATCTTAAGTCAAAGAATGACAAATGTGCAAAAAAAAAAAACAAAAAAAAAACCTCAAACCAAACAAAATGGAATCACTCAAAATGAACAAAGAACCAGAACATGCACATTGGTGCAGTTGCACATGGCAGGCATATTTCAAAATGCATGCTCCATTGTTGTCCCAGGCCAGTGTTCCCAGCTATTTCTACAAGATCAGTAATACCCAGTAAAAATTGTCCAGTGACACATTCAAGCACTTGGAGCAGGGACTATATTTTCTGTTATTTCACTACTTAGCATTGTGTGTCTTACAACTACTAGTCATTGTCTTGTTGAGTTGCAACAAGGCAAGAAGAACATATTTGAATTTACTCTGGATGTTAAACACTGTGCCGGTTCTAAAACCTGATCAACCTTGATCAAGGTCTTGACTGAAATATGTCAGTTTTGTATTTTCGAAGGCCTGGGATTTCTGACATGGAAGCACAAACAAACAGAGTGACACCACAGGGCGTCAATACAAAAATCACAGTCAGACACTGGAGGCAACAAAATAACTTGTTTAAACATTTTGCAAGCATTTTGCAGTAAGTAGAGAACTGCAAAGGTCAAAGTTGAGATGTTATGAGTCGGTTTCCCTCTCAAAAAGAAGGCAATATTTCATTGTTTCTTTGGAAGATACAAGGTGATGTTTTACGCCTGATAAATTTCAAGATCAGGTGGAATGACAATGAATTTGCATTCTTTATAATCTTGAACATTTCAATTGTACTTTACATTTGGAAAATGCATCAAAGGAATCATCAGTGATTCCTTTGAAAAAAAATGTTGACTCAGGTTTCAATCCTTCTGCCACAGAGTATATCAGAAAAGAAAAGAGTACAGCAGAGGAAATTTTCTTTAAATCAACTTTTTTCTTTCCTATGGTTTTCAAATGGTTTATTTGCTGTGAGGGGCTGTGTAGGCAGCTCAGTACCAAAGGTCATTTTGAGGAAAAATATATTTCCTTTATTGAAGAGGAGGAAATTAGGGTGGCATGGTATTCTAACTGAATTTCTCAATCAATTAATTTCTTTTTCCATTTCTTTTCTTATAGGAACAAGTAAAGCCTTTTCTGGATTAGTGTTAATAATAAGATAATAGATGAGCTCTGCATATGTGTGTGAGTGTGTGTGTGTGTGTCCTTCATAATAAAACATGGGGACCAGATGCTGCTGCAACCACATGAAATATGCAGCGTTAAAGATACAATGACAGAGAAAATGTTCTCATAATAAACCTGCTTCACACAGATGGTCCCTCTGTTTAACAGTTCACTGGCTACATTAGCAGTTCATAAAATGTTCATTGTGAATACGAATACCCAAACAAACACTGCATGTATTATCATTCATTACCATGGGTTAATATAGCTGCATGTTCACTGAACCTATATACTAACTTTGGTCGAATGAGCAACATGATAGTTTTGTGTCAAAATATGACAATTTCACCAGGTCTGTGTTGATTAATAGTACTATCACTAAAATTAATGTGCATTATTTTCACAGTCGGATGACCTCTTACTCCAAGTTTGGTATCTTGTTGTTTATGTGACAATATTATAACACATGTACGACAGCAGTTTATGTTGGACTCTGTGACCTCAGCACTTCATATGTTACTTCATGATTTGTTGACGTAGTGATCCTGATGCAGAACTATAGCGAAAGTAAAATGTTTTTTTCCTGGTGGCGCAGTGGGCAGTACCTTTAAAGGTGTTTCATGACGTCATTGACAGAGTGCTTGCCTGGGGCAAAACCGATTTTCAACATTTTCATAAAATGTGCTGCTCCGCTTTGCTCTTTTTCCTCTGTGCTAGCTCATGGCAGAGAAAACTTTTTGCTTTCTGACAAACAATACACACAAGATACTAGTGAGAAGATGAAAATACCTTTAAAGAAAAGAAAAAAAACATTTGGACTGAGAAGTGTTTCCAAAGGTCTTGACAGAATTATAGTAACATATGGAATGCTGAGATCCCAAACGGGGCTAATGTTGTACTTGATCAGGCTACAACACTGATAAACGCACAAAGCAAG